TCGGCCGGCTGTGAGGACCCAGCAAGCAGCCGCCTGAGCACACAGACACTGGGGTTTTTTTTCTGCAGCCCGAGTCCCCCACCAGGAAACAGTTGAAGACAGAAGACCAGCCAGAAGAGGTAAGGGTAAATGATTCATTAAAATGATTATTATGATTATTATTTGTAGCCTAACTGATGTTGTATAAAGTACTGCTGCTATTTGTAGTGCTCTATAGCAGGTGCCAATATGCAGTGGGTACGCAATCATTGGAGGAGGCATTTTTTGAAAGACTTGGTTGCTGTGAGGTCCTGCACTTCCAGGACCTCACAGCGGAGACATGTTATGTTCAAATATATATTTTTTTCTATTTTTCCAACTTTATTTTTTTGTGGTTGCTTCAGGGGGTGTGGTTTGGGGACAGAAACGGATATACTTCTGTTATTTAAAAAAAAATTAGATCAAGCTCAACTGGTTTCTTCTGGTATGAGTCAGTGACCACACTGGTATGTGCTCAACAACTCTGTATATAGATTCTTTCCGGATGACAAATGATTCTTTCTGATTCAAAGTGAAACTTCTTTAGTACATACAGCACACATTACTGCAAATCAACTATTTAAAGGAACATGTCATCTTTTTTACTTTACAACCTCTCCACGGTCAGCTATATGTATTGAAAGGGTATTAGCGAGTGTCAGACATTTACTTCTATTATGAAGATATTCTGTATCAGGCACAGCGGAACAATTGCTTACAAAATGAGCGCCAACTGCAAGATTGAAGATATCCCATAAACACTTTGGATTGTAAAATATAATTATTTTCAATCAAAATTCACATAGCTTTCACCCAGGATTCACACCTTTTTCTAATTGGATGTAATTGGAAACTGTGTGAATCCTAAGTGAAAGTTGTTTAAAATTTTGGGTGAAAACATTTATACATAGACCCCTCAGTACTATACATACTTATTATAAGGGATACACCGTTACCGGTTTTTTGTTTGTTTCAGTACTCACCGATACCGGCATCCATGGGGGGTCATGACCCACCTCCCGGCTTCCTGATTGCCTGGGAAGCTGGTGCTCTATCAAAAGAACACCGGCCTAACTTCTCTTGTTACACAGCGAGACAGCCTGGGTAATGACGTACTGCCCGGCTTCCTGATTGGTCAGGAAGCCAGGCTGCCTAGCAACAAGTGAAGCCAGCTTCCTAGCCAATCAGGAACCTTTAAGGGGGATCATGACCCGCCGTCCGGCTTCCTGATTGGCTCGGGAAGCCGGCTCCATGCTCCTTCACGGCACTGCCGACCAGATCGGAAGTTCCAGTAACGGGGTAAGTATAATACTCGGTATCGGCACCAATACTAATACTAGTATCGCTGCATCCCTACTTTTTATAGCGTACCCATCAACCTCTGCCGGTGCGGGTGTACTATCCATACCCCGTACTGCCGTGTACCGCAGCCCCACACTATGGATTTTGAATTTCACTTACAAATGGCATGCACTCATTGGCGATCTCGCTGACCAATGAGAAGCGCTTCTGACCTCACCAACCAATGAGTAGTGCTTCTTAGCAAGAAACGCTTCTCATTGGTCAGTTGAGACATGTGATTTTGTAAATATACATATTCAACATAATAACTTTGCTGCGAGGGATGAAAGAACCGGGGCAGGGTAACGGAGAGAAGTTAAAGAATGAGACAAAGGTTGATCATTTTCAGAAGTTTTATTTTTCTGTACACCAGCAATGCAAACAAGTATTTTTGGAAGCAAGTTACAAAGCAAGTCATTGGCCTTGTGTGTATTGGACACAATGATACATGTCAAGAGTGTAACTACCGTATTTTCCGCTCCATAAGACGCACTTTTTTCCCCCCAAAAGGCGGGGGGGAAATGTGTGTGCGTCTTATGGAGCGAATCCCTATCGCCCGACGCCCGCATGCAGTTTTGGGGCGCCAGGCGATTTGTTTTTTGTACATTTAGCCCTGCTCCGGACAAGCAGAGCTAAATGTACAGTGGGAGCCGCTGCTCGTTTAATAAAAATCAAGCGGCGATCGTGTCCGGGCCCACCCGTTGTGGTTTTCGGGGTCCCCCACTCCTCTGGGGGACCCATGTCCACGGCATAGGAGCTCACCATAGAGCCCCTAGAGCAACTCTGTGTGATCACTGAGACCGTGGCGCTGTAATCACAGCGCCACCTGTCTCAGCTGTGACTAACTACACCTGTCACAGAATCCTGCGTCCTATGGTCCGGTGCGCCTTATGGAGCGCAAAATACGGTACTTTGTTAAAACTTAAAGCTGAACTGCGGGCAACAAGTAAATACACAGATGGAATACATATAAGGGAGTTGTTTTTAAAAGCATTTAAACCTTTAAAAAACAAAACTATTAATGAATACAGAATTACAGTAGTTGTATCTACGTTACATAAATCCTTTATAGAGTATATACCGTGTTTCCCCGAAAATAAGACACTGTCTTATATTTTTTTTGGCTCAAAAAAACACACTAGGTCTTATTTTCGGGGTAGGTCTTATTTTTTTTTAATGTACAACAATCCAAAGTTAATGCAAATCCAAATTAAAAAATCCAAAATAGCAAAGTTAAGAATATGGTGATCAGGGCAATCAGGGGTGCCGTACCTTTCCAAGAGCAATTTGTTAACCAATCACTGGCCAGAATGAGCGAAGTGCACTTTCACTATAGATTCCTCACAGGCGGAGTGCATTTGGTATCACTCCGCCTGTGACAGGAGCCGGCACTATAGAGGAGGCATCGGCTTATGCGGCTCTGTTCCCTCCGCTGCCGCCTCACTTACTCTAGCGCCGGCTTCATTGGCACCGCTGATTCTCTCCTACCTCTCCTGCCGCTCTTCAAATTAACCCCTTATGCCACCACCGGCCCTGGGAATGGTCACAACTAGGTCTTATTTTCGGGGTAGGGCTTATATTTTAGCAATTGCCAAAAATAGTACTAGGTCTTATTTTCGGGGAAACAGGGTATTTCCCTTCTCCTAAAATGTAATGATTGTGTTTGTATTCCTTCATGCAAAAACAAAACATGATATGAGTATTTCATACATTAGGCATCTCTGATTGATCACTCTTCTTGTAGCACCTTAAAGCGTGCTAAAGTAGTCCATCAGCCGGTGTTTGGCGTTCCTTCAGTGCACTCCAGCACACCTTGAAGTCAATCTTCTAGTACACAGCATTCAAATAATGAAAAAGACAAGCTAACACATTGCATTTACTATTTTTTTTCTTTAGTCCAAATCAGTACAGGAAGCATGATAATGCTCTGACACCTTTCCTGCTGTAATTAGCTTTTTTGGAGGAGACCACTGATCAGGTCCCCCTCCTGGACCACTTCACACTCCCTGTGGAAGCATACCCACTTCCCTCATTTATTTAAATAAAAATTTTATTTTATGATATTTTAATTTATTTCATTTTATTTCATTTCTGGGTATTCTCTGGATGGTCACATGACAAGCGGAGTTTCTTCACCTGTGGTGAAGTGTAAAATAGCGCCCCCTGGCCTGGATAACACTATAGCCACGCAAACCCCAGACAAAACGTTTCATTAGATTTGTGTTTTATTTTGTATTAATCGTGCGACCAAAGATCAGCCATGACTATACAGACAACTAAGGCCCCTTTCACACGGGCAGTCCAATCAGATCTGTGTCAGTGTTTTAGACAGATCTGAGCTGAAGCCCAATGTAACTCTATGGGCAGCCGGAGATAAATGGACACGGGTCTGCTTATATCCGATCAGAGTTCCGTTTTGGTGGACCTGATCTTGACTGATTGGAGGCAATTGGATGTAAACCAGCGCACGTCCGCTTTGAGCCCATAGACCGAGCACGGGTCCACTGGTTCAGTTTTTCCTCCATCGCAAGATCTGAACTGACACGGATATCCCAAAACTGATGCCTGTTCCGATCAGCAAGGGATCAATGCACGGATACCCTGCTGATCCTGCAGAACGGACAGGCATCTGTGCAAAAAGAGCCTAGGCTGTGGCTGGGGATTCCTACCTACAGATTCTACAAGAATCCCAGGTGTCTCCATACAGATGCCCCAGCTTTGCCAGTTCAAGTGCATCACTGGGTGACAGCGGCCGCATCTACCAGTGACTGCAAGTAATCATTCATGGAACGGGATCGATGAATGTCCCTGGATGCAGACAGATAGCGTCCAGGCACATTCATCTATCCCGAACCATAGGTCATCGTTCCATGTACAATTACCTGCGGGCAGCCTCTGACACATGCGACCGCTGTCACCCTTTCATTCACTTACAGGGGCACAGTGGTGCATTTGTATGAACACACCTGGAATTCCTGACCAGCGAACATCCTCTGTCATGTACTATGAGAAATAAAACTACATTGGATTTAAGCTTCTGTGTCTTATTAGAGAGTTAGGCTGTCTGTGGTTGGGCCCAATTCAGCTGGTGAACATACTGAAGGCTCAGGTCCAAAGCTCGAGGTATGTCAAAGCCTAAAACAGCTCTTAAAACAACACAGTTCTTCTGTGCAGACTACATAATACCTCCCCATTATGATATAGGGGTAAGGAGAGATGAAGGTGTTCCATAGTCCTAATACGCTTACTGTTCTAGAGTGATAACGATGCTCCTCCATACATGCAGTATGGGGTGTGTCTATTGTCACCCTAGGACAGGAAACATGTTACAGGCAGGATCATCGGGTGAAAATAAAGAGGGGGACTAATGCAGCCACCACATCTAAGGACAGCTAAGCTGCAATATATTATATTTTTGTTTTTAAGCTTAGATACACTTTATTTTAGGATTGTAGTTTCGGTATCCTCAATCACATGGCCGCATGCAGGGGTTTGGTGAAGGGGGAGGTCACTAGGTCAGAAAGACCTAGTGACCTGGCAGCAAAAGGGTTGCCCATACCATAGTCTTGTGTTGGAGATCATATTCCAAAACCAAGGGTGTGATGGTCAAGTGTCCACCAATGTTTGTATTTCTTGCTGTATTAATTTCGGATTGTAACCCTGGAACCCTCATTGAGGAAGAAGGCAGCATGCAGGGGTCTGGTGAAGGTGACGGTGAAGGTGTAGAGGTATCTGATGGGGTCACAAAGCTGGTAGAAGGACAGACGGCCAGTGCTATATTCCAGGAATATCCCAAATGCCCGCACAGGAGAATCTGTGGAGATTTCTGTTTCAACATGATTGTGCCACACACTGAGCTTGCTCTCTACATCTACACTGAGGCTCCAGGACCTTGTGTTGTAACCAATGCGTAAGTCCAATCTTGTTCTCTTCCTCTCTATATTATCATAGGCCACCCCAATGCTACATTGTGTCCCCTTCACATCCACCTCCCAGTAGTGATTCCCCGATGAGAAGCTGCACTTACTTAAAACATGACGGGATTTAAACCTCTCTGGACCAACATCTCTAGCATGACGGTTTTCTGTATGAACAGCAGATCTGAGATCATGCGATATATACATTTTATAATAAGCTGTGTTTGTGTCCAGTGTGATCTCTGACGTCTCCATTTTTGGAAAGTCCACCTTTAGCATGCGTTTGGTCAATGTGTCGGCGAATTCTAAGAGCTCCTTGTGCAGCATGACTGAGAATGCTGCTCCGTTAAATATTTGAATTTTTCTATCCGTGTTATTCTGGATCTCCGTCAGATCAGTTTCTTGTATTCTGTTTAGGAAAGTGAAGTTGTTTTGTTCGCATAGATCCTTAATAAGTTCAATCTTGTTGTGCAGATCAGCATTCTCTCCCTCCAGTTTTTGTGTCACCGCATCGACTGACAGTAAAACTTCTTCTTTGCTACTTTTGATCTCATTATCGACTTTGCACCTAGTATTTCTAAGTTGGTCCGTAATGGTCGTTACCTGATCAGTGACTCTCCAACTGACTGCTTGTGCCTTTAATTTCTGTGCTCTCTTATGACTCTTCATTGTTTTGATCAGTTTCTCTTTTGTGTCTTTCATGTCATTTAGCCTTTCTATGTCAGTTTTTAGACTTGTTTTCCTCTTGGCAGCAAAAGCATCCAGAACCTCCACCGAATGATTGTTGTGCTCACCCTTATTGTAGCAGGTCTGACACAGGCCAACGCTTTCACTTGTGCAGTAGTATTTCAGAACCTCTTTATGTTGAGAGCACTGCCACTCACCGGATGATGAGTTGAGATCAAATAAATCATGATTCACTCCATTCTTATGAGCTGTGGCATGATTATCACACATGGGGGTCCCACACTGCGCACAGGTTTTAGATGCCAGTACAGGAGTACCCAGGCAGTATATACATCGGATGGCTGCCATTTCCTCAGGCTGATTATATCAGAAACTTTCCAATGCGTTGCACGGCTTCCTGTTCTTCTCCAGCACGGTGGCGCTCTATGACACTACCTTTTCAAATGTTCCTTCTTAGGTTCTGGGGAGGGTACAGCAAAGAAATGATGACACTCAAAACACAGGTTTAAAATATTATGTTTTACAAATTCAATCATTGCTGAAATCATCACAAAGAAAAGTAAAATAGAATGAGGACAAGAACGATGAGGACCCTTCTTTGTTACTCGCTTTCTGTTTAGTTCCCCGACTACATCCAAAGTAGGTAACATGTAAGGTCTTGTCCCTCCCCCAACTTGTGACTGAGCTCATTTTCTCTGTCACTCTGCTCTCTCCTTCTATCAGCATTTTTCCTGTTAGCACATGAGCTTGGAAACACAACTGATTGGTTCCTTGTGCTGAATCTCCCTCTCAACAGACTGACACCAAGTCAAACATGGCTTACAGTTTAAAATGACATTTAATGGCATATTAATGCATACAGAGCTCCAATAATCCGCGTCTTTTATATCTGCTTTAAAGTAGTATTAAAATAATTTTAAACTCTCATTTTTTATTAATAATGAATCCAAATCAAAAAATTTACATTGTCCAGTAAAGTTTTTCTTTAAACTTTTGTCCAAGCACTTACAGTCATCATGTTTTCTAACAGCTTCAACTCTCTCAGCTCGGCTTCCCTGAACTTCCTGTCCAGTACAAGATCACAAGAGACAGCGCAGTCTCCATCAGCTGTCCATCTACTAGCTTGGAGGGGGGAGCAGGGGGAGGGGAGTGGATTGCCTTGCTGTGTCTGTGTGTTTGTGGAGGCACACACAGCTGACAAGCACACACAAGGGTGGCTCCATAGGACCCTGCGAGGGAAATGAGACACCCTAAAACAGGATATCAGGGCCAGTGCTCAGGGGACCAGCTGATTCTGGCCCCTGGAGACCAGCATGGTTCCCTATTGTGTATTCACTTCTGTTGCATTTTTTGTCAGCTTTGATAGATAGATAGATAAATAGATAGAGCGATAGATAGATAGAGCGATAGATAGATAGATAGATAGATAGAGCGATAGATAGATAGATAGATAGATAGATAGATAGATAGATAGAGCGATAAATAGATAGATAGATAGAGCGATAGATAGATATTCCCAAAAAATGTTTCTCTGCAGCAACACGTCGATGTCTTTTCAAAGTACAAATATGTACAGTCTATACTGACCCCCAGGATCCTCCTCCAGGTAAGACAAGATTACTGAAAGTGTCTAAACACCTCCCTTATTTCATATGCACTATGGCTTCTGTGTGTGTGTTGTAAAGTAGTCACCGCTCCATGCTCACTCCCGGGATGGACTACAATCTCAATACAAATTAGTAAACTAAACATGAGATTGCAGTCCATACCGGGAGAGAGCTCGGAGCGGTGACTACTTTACAACACACACAGTGACCATGAAGAACAAGAGTAGCCCCCCTCCAGAAGGAAGGACAATGTCAGAGATGATTGGAGGATCTACAGCCGAGTGATACACAAATAAGACAGCAAATGAACAGGAATCACCAGCACTCAGTGGAAAATATTCAAACGATAAAGTCCATTTAATCGGACAAATCATCATACATGTTGCAATAATTATAACCGACGTTTCGGGGCCACGCAGGGACCCTTCATAAGGGTAACAATGTAACACACCTTGGCCCCAAAACGTCGGTTATAATTATTGCAACATGTATGAATATCTGTCCGATTAACAGCAGAATTCGTTAAATGTTCAAGAGGGGCTCATTGTTAAAGTGTTTAACCCCTTCGTGACTGACGACGTACAGTGTACGTCGCCAGCATCGGGGCTGTTTAAACAGACTCCCGGCGACTTTTGCCGCCGGGACTCTGTTTAAACTTGTAGAGCCGACTGTCGGCTTTACAACAGAAGCGATCCTGGCGACATTTCAGGCCTAAAATGTGGAATATAACATGGGTGCAAAAAATGAAAAAAAGGCCTCAGTCATGAAGGGGTTAAAGACCGGGCTGTCAGCCGAAAATCTGGGTCTGAAAGTGCGAATTGTGGCCGCCAGCGCCTAGTCAATGTTAGGGCAGAACGGAGAGTGGCAAGACTGGTACAAGACAACAGAAGGGCAACAGTGCAATGTCAGATTCCTCGCATCACCTTTCACCATCTCGTGGAGTCACCAGGCGGCCCAACGAAGTACTGATGGGGTGGTCATAATAATCTGGCCACTCAGAGTATATATATATATATATATACATACTGTACATACACACAGTATATTGTGTATGGGTTTATAATGCATAAAAGTCTAAGTAATGGTACAAACCTGGGTACAAAATGACTCTGGGTACTCTTCTCTGCACTCCGGAAAAGAATGAACTCCAGGCTCGATGACAATATAGAGGTGACACAAACAATGTTCTTCTCGTAGTATCTCCAGCTCTATATGAAGGTTCAGGCAGAAGGAGCAGATCGAAACCTCACTCCAGTCAACGAATAAAATTCAAATCAAATCAGACTTCTTATATAACCTGCAGTTGAGGAGGAGCTAGAAAATAAAACAGATTTATCTACGTTCAGCCCGGGCCAGGAAGTAAGAAAGAGAAACAGACAGACCAGATGCAAGAGGCGCTAATATTGCTGCAACAGAGGGACGGGTTGCAGAGGCAGACAGAGATTATGTTACGGGCAAGCTCCAACAGTGTCATAGATTCACATATTCCATGGTAGCACTCCTGGGACTGCTGCTGTACGTTCCCCAACCTGCGGATGCACACTCCTCTGGGGTCCATTCCTCCTACAATGCTACAAACACACATTGCTGTAGAGCCGTGCCTAAAAGAAAAAATCGTGGATTAAAATTGGATTTACAAGCAATCGGCCTGAGACTGTATTTTGCATTTTATATTTAATAAATTTTGATACCATTTTTATATGCATGAGTCATACTTATCTCTCCATAAACCCTTTTCCCCCCTATTTTTCTATATACAATCTATTTGAGGGGGAGAGACAGTACAGGGAACCTATGCTGTTGCAATCCACGATTTTTTCTTTTAGTCTATTTACCCGGGATCTGGAGGTATAATGCTTACCAGAGCCCATTTTTTGTGGATTGCCTTATTACAATGGCCCCTTGACCATGCATATTCTATCATATTAATTATCTGCCAGCGGAAATTAATTAAAGAAATATGTTGTATCTGTGAAAACTGGATATATACGTTTAAATGTAATAGTATTCGAGAAAAAACTAGAAAGTTGATGCGAATCATGCAATAGGTTGTAGTTTTAAAAAGACAATATACATGCCTGAAAAGCTGGGATTTACTCTCTCATTACCTTATATGTTGAATCAAAGTGTTATCTACTATGTTAATTATGCAATATGATGTATCATAAAAGGAATAATTTATTTCTAAAAATAATATATAGTTTACAAAGATGGGATTAATTTTCTGATTATCATATATGTTGGACCAAAATGAGATGAACTATGCCAGCTTACAATATTGAATACTATAACATTATGCATTATGAAGAAAAAATATGACATAGAAGTCAGCAATCATTGGATATAAAAATATAGTGGTTTTGCTCAATTCTTGAATCTTTATATATTTGGAACGCAGATGAGATTGAATTTGTTAAGGTAGTGAAGTTATGCCGTTTGCTGTACAATATATCAGATATTGTTATTTTACTTCAGTTTATGTAGATATGAGGACGAATGTGAACTTTCAGCCTGGGACCTCTGGACTCATCCTTTCCTTTCCATTGACCCCTAACAGCAAGCTGCTCGCTATGGCTGAAGCCTTACCACTCCTACAATAGTACAAGGGAGTGGACTCAGGAGACAGCGTCTCTGGTATCCTAGGTAGCGGCAGGCAGGGCTGGAGAGGCGCGTGTGTGCTGTGTAGCGCATGCGTGGTTTGATATCCACACCGCCAAACGGTGACCGGAATCTTAACCTCCGTTTTTTTCGTTTGGCGGTGGGGGCTATATAAGGGGAGGGACGGTGATCTGGGAAATGTGGCCAATCCCGCATTGAGCCGATGGCTGAGGCATATCAGTAACCCCTACTCGGTATACATCAAAGTATGGACAGTTTCTTTCCTATAATCAGGCTAATATGCACTTTATACAGGCTCTAGTAAGTTGGGCTTTGAGACCTACGTGCAGTGAATGTGGTGGGGAGGTAGATGTGGGGGTTGGAGTGTTCTTGTGTGGGGGGGGGGTTCCTTTGAAGTGGCTGGGCGGGATAGAGTTACAATGGAGGGTACACTTGGGGGCTATGATATGCCCACACATGATATGAGGTGGCTACACACCATTACATCATTCATTTTCTCTTTTTATTTCTATTTATTTTTAGCTTTATACACATATATATGATTAGGTCAACAATACATTTCTTAGCTTTTTTGTCTAAACACTGTGGAGGAATCACCTAAAGTAGAGAGACTGAAATATGTACACATATGAAACTACATATCACTTGCTTTAATACTATATACATAGGTTACATTCATAATAGTTGCTACAATTTGTTACATTTGTAGTACACCTAATTTCACTATTAACACTGACCTTTTTCGTACACACACACACATAAGAAACGCAATCTTATGTCACGGTAGATTTTAATTATAAAGGTTACTTACGTGCACCAATATCACTACCGCAAGTCAATACATGTCCCTGATTAGATACAGGGGTTTCTTAATGGGAACACACCTATCGGCTAATTGGACCATATGGACTCACTAAAACAAAATATGTAAGCTTTACAATATATAGATTGATACAATTATATCTATAGGAACATTTGAAATATGGGGATATATAGGAACCCTGGCCCATAACTACAATTCATAGAACCCTTTATCCTCTTTATTCAATAGGTTGAGAGATTAAGACTACCATGCCACTGGACCAAGACCACTCCTTGATGTCTTCTGTAGGAACTTCCCAG